CCCCAAAACCCCAAAACCCCAAAACCCCAAAACCCCAAAACCCCAATATTAAATTTATAATTGAAATAAAGAAGGTACAGCTTTTTGTTAGCGATCTTGCTGGGCTGAAAACAATCCAGACATGGTTTTTATACTTTTAAAGCCTTGAATTATCCCTCTAAGACTCCTCATATAGGTATCCAGCTTTTAGAGCTTCTGGTTACAAGGCTTTGTTTGGAGATTCCTTAAAATTTTGAAAATTTCATAACTTCTTATTGAAAAATTAGATTTTTTCAGAAAATTTCCAGGTGGTTTTCTAGATATTCCTTTTAAAACAAATTCAGTTGCTGGGCTCATTTAACGGATCTAGTTGTAAGAATGGCGAAAGCAATCTCAGAAGAGGTAGGTGCTTCTACAAACCTTATTCTAGAGACAACTTAACGTCGAGAATGCAATGAAGATAGTCCACAAAAAGAAGAGCTCTAAAACACCGTATTGGTACAAACTCAATGAGCTTGTTGAAAAGATCAAGGATTATAACCGAGTATGGACTAATTTAACCTTTTTAGGGACCAGGTATTGACGCTAAAGTTGAATTCTCGAGCCACAGGAGAAGACCAATCATGAAGAAAAGTTCTAAATAAGCTTTCCAGAACAAGGCTCAATAGCACCAATTCAGGCTTGAAGAATAAGAAGCGGGCTCTGGCCAAGATCAGAGCCACTAATTTACTAGTAACTGGACAGAAATAGACCCTCTATTTCAGCCAGTATTTGAAGCTCGAGAAGAAGCTCAGTAGTTCCAAAAGATATTTTCCTAAAGAAAAATGATGATTTTGTAATGGAAGGAATAATACAAGTGGATGAGAGATTGGAGCAGTCCCCTCCGAAGCCGAAGAGGTCCTTTAAGCACTCCTGTATTCTTATATACTGATTTTTAGGGATTAAGAAGAACTACCAATCAATTAAGATGATCAGTGAGATGAACCACACATCATCAAATTTTTCTTCAGGGAAATCTCACAGGAAATACAACTTCACAAGTGCAAGGATGACTACTAATAATTCTAATGTCCAGGAAGAGCTAAACCATACTCATAAGCTAAGTTTTGACAGGGATCGACTTGAGAGACTTGCCCTCCCCAGGGAGATATCTCAGGCTAGGAAGAAGAGAGGCCACCGTTTGAGAATCTCTCAGAAGTTGCCTTTGTTCATTAAGACTCTGAACACGAGTACTGAGAAGGACACTTATAATCATCTGCATCAAGCTTTTATTTATGGCGTTAAATTAGATCAAATTCCATTATTGAAGAAGAAGCTTGATGGCCTGAAGGATACCATCAAGGACAGCAGAGCTAAGTCCAAGAATTTCCGGAAGACGATGAAGTACTTCAGGATTATGAGTAAGGTCAACAAGTCACAGGTAAACCCCTTCAGTGGCGCTGGGCTTAAGCCTTCCTAATTTTGAGGGATTTGTATTGGAAATTTCAATAAATTTAGAACAAAAAGGGGTTTTGGGGTTTTGGGGTTTTGGGGTTTTGGGG